TGGATCTTGTTGATAGCTGCAACATTCTCTGGTGAGAGCTTGACAAGCTTCAAGTTCTCACGGATACGGTCGTGGTTGGCTGCCTTTGGAATGACAGAGGTGCCTCTTTGCACACCCCAGCTGAGCAAGACTTGGCCTGGTGTGGCACCGATCTCACTAGCGATCTTGTTGATAGTCTGGTCCTTTATGAGGGGTGTGTGGCCAGCTACTGGACAATAAGCGGTGACGTGAATGCCGTTCTTGTGACAGTAGTCGATCAACTCAAATTCAGGGTTCCATGGGTGAGTTTCGATTTGGTTTACAGCTGGACGCTTGGTGCAGTTGTTTAAGAGGTCTTCCAAGTATGGAATAGAGAAGTTAGAAACACCTGAGAGTTATTAGTCAGATGACGCAGACGACCGCGCATTCACCTACCAATAGATTTAACCTTGCCTGTTTCTGGGAAGGTTTCGAACTCCTTCCAGACCTTGAGGTAGTTTCTCTCCGATGGGTCGTCTGGGTTCTCAGCGGTTCCGTGGAAAGTGGTTTGAGGCCAGTGGACGAGGAGCAAGTCAAAGTAGTCAAGACCGGTGCGTTGGAGAGATCCCTCCAATGACTCGCGGGCTTTGTGGAGGTCAGTAATCCACACCTTGGTGGTGATGAAGAACTCTTCTCTTGGGACGCCGCTCTCCTTGACTGCTTGAGCGATTTCCTTCTCGTTGCAATATAATGTTGCACCGTCAAAGTGACGACCACCTTGTTCAATGAAGTATTTCATCGATGGCAAGAGTTTTGGACCGGCTTCGAAGGATTGGCACCAGGTGCCATATCCGACCAGTGGGATTTTGTTTCCATCGTTGAGGGTTGCGATTGGGTTTGACATGTTGTTGATTGTTGGGGTCGAAGAAAGCTCACACCTGTTATCCATGTGATTAAAAAATCGTATAAACAATCCACCGAGGTAGCGAACAACAGAGTTCGTCTTCGGAAGCGATGCGATTTATCCCTAAGACACTCCAGCTCCTATCCGCGAGAGCGAACAATAGAGTTCGCCTTCGGAAGCGATGAAATTTATCACTAAGGCACTCCAGCTCCTATCCGCGAGCATATCAAAGACATCAGAGTATTTTGAGTTGTTTCATGCATGACGTCATCTGTCAACTGAGGAGTACATCAGAGTATTTTGAGTTATTTCATGCCTAACGTCATCTGTCAACTGAGGAGGTTGTAGATGAGGTCACGATGTAGCGAGCATCTTCCAAGTTGAGTAGTGTTGTCTCCAAATCACTTTTTTCTCTCGCTTTCGTACGCTTTCGTTGGTCTTCTTCCCTCGGCACAATCACACCCGAAATAAGTGGAGAGCAGTTGAAGAGGTAATTGTACATGTTTGAAGCCCTTTCAAATTTTAAAGCATATTTACACATTTACTACCTCGTCCATTCCGTGAAGTACTCAAAACTGAATTAGGCTCTTACATCATTTATGACCTCATGACGATATTAAGAGAAAGTAAGGTGGTTTGAATATAAAAACTGGAGCTTTCCAAGACCTTTAACAAACCGGAACAGTCTATCGAATATTATGTACTCAATTTGCCTTGAAAATAGTAAAGTACGTTAGAACTTGAACGCACCGATATCCTATACTGGAAATACAAATAATATAGCAAGAATGTTGTTTTCTAAGTACCTCTAGCACTCCAAACATTCCTCTACTTCGATTTTCGCTGAAAATTCAGCTAGTTGAAATTCCCTCTTGTCGACGATCTCATCTCAGATTGCTGATTTGCGACTTTTGATGATCTCCAACAAAAAAGGCTTGGTACGCAGCTGTAGCTGAGATAAGTTGGTTTCTGCCAGAGCTATATCCCTGCGGCTCCAATCGTGTGCTGTTAGTCGTTCGGCCGTTTAAGCCTGGTATCGCTCTGTAGCACTTACTAGAGCAGTTGCAGAAAGTTTCACACGCTAAGTCGATGTGCAATCACTATTCTGAGCTGATAGGGACTATAATAACCAAAATAGCTTGACTATTCGACTCTATGAACGAGTAAGACGTTTTGCGACGCGTGGTGTCCACAGCTCCACATCATGACTCTAGGGAAAAGTTAAGGCTATTGATATCCATATCACACCTTAAAAAAGTCATCCACGTAAAGAAAAGTGGGGGTCAGCTCAACTCTGAAATCGGGATTTGGCTTGCGATTAGTGAATTTCGAAATTTCAAATAATGCGAAGGAGGGGTGATTAAAGTTGCGGTGGAATTTTGGAAGCTTTAATAGTAGGAAAGTATGTTTTTAGATGCCAAACTGCTCGCGTTACCACGCACTCAAACTAGTTTACCGATTATAGACAGCTGTAACAAGACCGTCATGCACTTCAATATCACTCACACTACAGATTGATACCAAGCTAGCTCAGGATTTGACGCATTGCTTTGTCATAAAGCACATTCGTTGATGTTTATTGACAGGAAGATGGGATATCTTGACTGTATGAGCGTACTATATACATACATGCAGCTTTCAAATGTAAATGCAGACATGGAATTTGTTGGAGATTGCCAATATGATTTGAATCAATTACAATAGCGGGCATGGTGAGCTGATCAAGAAATAGAAAGAAGGTGAGAAGGAGACTGATAAGGATTGTGATTAGCACTTGAGGTGAACTACCTTGAATTTCACTTTACAGTCCATTTTAGTCAAAGTTTGGTGCGATTGGACCGCGTGTGCCGAACCAGTTACCCTTCACAAAGTAGTTCCAGTATACAGGTGGGAAGATATCCTTCTTGAGGTGGTAAAACAGTCTGTTTGGTTTATCCTGTGAGCCGAGGATAGGGGCAAAAGTTTCCTTAGGCACACCGCCGTATTTGAACTCAGCGAGGAGGAGTTCGCCGTGGCCGGTCAGGAGAGGGCAAGAGGCGTAACCATCGTATACAGCGTTTAGAGGTTTACCCTCCATAGTTTTTCTCAAGTTGTGAACCAAAACAGGGGACTGTGCCGAGATAGCAGCGGCTGTCTTAGAGTTAGGCAGTGATGAGCAATCACCGATAGAGAAGACATTAGGATACTGCGTGTGCTGCGTGGTGCTCTTATCTACCGACACAAAGCCACTCTCGTCAGCAAGTGGAGAGTTCTTGTAGAACTCGAGTGGGGCTTGTGGAGGGACGACATGAAGGAGGTTATACTCTTTTTCTACCGTCTTTCCTTCACTCTGGGAGAACTTGGCGACTCTGTTAGCCGCATCAACCTCGGTGAGGTTTGTACCGAAGAGGCCGTTCACGTCGCGCTCTACGCGCAGCTTCTCGAGTGCTTGCGAGTACTTAGGTACGGCGAACATGGATGGTGTGCCAGTAGCGAAGGTGAGATCGATATCTTTACGCACGCCAGTGTTGTTCCACTGCGAGTTGGCCATCCACATAACCTTCTGAGGAGCACCTGCGCATTTAATCACACCGGCTGGTTGTGTGAAGATGGCGTTACCGGATTTGAAAGCAGCGATGTCTCTCCAGGCCTTCTCGGCGTAGTCTGGGTTGTAGATGGAGCTGACGCCTGAAGACTGATCTGCGAGCGCACCCTCCAGCCCCTTAACACCTCCGAAGTTGATCTTCAAACCAGCTGCGACGATGAGGAAATCGTAGGTCAAAGTCTCGCCCGTGGCGGTAGTGACGGTGTTAGAAGCTGGAGTGAATGACTGAATGTTGGTTGGTATGTGTGCCACATCCTTTGGAATTACGCTGTTTTCTGGCCTCACGTAGTCTTCTTTCTTGCCGAGACCTGAACCGATGAGTGTCCATCCTGGCTGATCTGATTGGGTTGCGTTAACGCTGCTGATTGCTGATGCCATCTAATAAACTCACAGTGATGCTCTTTGGCTGCATCGACGATCGCGATCTCACCAGCCCCAAGACTCTTGTTCTCGTCTCTCAATCTGTTTTGTATTTGTGCAGCGGCCGTTACACCAGCTGTACCACCCTGCAATCACGCCGTCAGAACATTTCATATCATCTCTTTTAGACGAAGCGTATACGCACACCAACGATAAGAATCTTGTGGTGGTTGTTAGCCGGTGTGGCCAGACCACGAGTAAATCTGGGTGTGAGTCCTGCAGCTCTTGATACTTGTCTACTGAACATTGGTGGTTGTTGTGGTGCAAGGAGGAAGGCAGTCTAGAATTAGAAAAATGCTTCAATCTTAGTCTATCTCAATGAATCTATCTACTTTAAACAATATATGCGATACTCTCGCAGTGTATCATCGTCATTGCCCCGCACCAAAACATTACGCTCGAGGTGAGGCTTATTGGAGTAGAAATCAAAATACGTCTCTGCTCTCATATTTGCCACTGCCACAGCCTTGCCCTCGTTCATGGCAAATGTAGATGTGGCAATTCTGCCGACTGTCTCACCTTGGTTGTAGACATAGCCACACGTATCCACGTAGCCTCTCTTGATAGGTACGAGCGTGACTTGGACGAGTGCGTCTTTCACACTCACGTGATTGTTGACTTGGAGGCAGGATAAAGTGGTGTTGAGAGCCTCCTGTGCTTCCTTTGTTTTCTTCAGCTTATCCTGCACGAGGCGAACAAGCTCGTCTGTCATGAACCATTGGCTGGTGTTGGTGTCGGTTTTGAAGGAGTCTTTTGCTTCCTCGGGGTCCCTCTCAGCCGGCTGAGTAGGTAGCTGGCCATCCATAGCAACCTCTACGTCCTCTGCAGCATCCACCACCATTTCATCAAACGGTTTCTCGAGAAACGGTACGAGGGGGAGTGGTGAGTGATAATGCGGTCTCTTACCCTTGGGTCTTTTCATCACTCTCTCTTCCTCCTCACCAGCGCGTCTGCGCCACTCGTTCCAATTAGCTGTCGAAGTAGGACAAGCGGATTCTGGGAAATGAGCGGCGCCCACTTGTGCCGCGAACTGGTCTACTTGGTCCACCCTTCCAATGCGCGCGTCCGTGTGCGTGAGCGACGGCCACAC